ACTGAAACATCGTTGATGTTTGTTTGTTTTCCTTCAACAACCCCCCAAAAACTCGTACCTCTGCAAATTGTGTGGCTGTGTCATCCAGCCCATTAGCGCCGCCCTCTAGGAGACTGAGGGAAGCAGCGCACAAGGGGACAAAAGACACATTATTATGAACATACATTGAACCCCTCATTTCTGAACAATTGTAGTGCCATCCTGGAACCAGACTACATGGTATGCAGCTTAAACAGAACATTAGTCTGAAGTCCAATCACTTGGACATTGACACGATTACTTATACGGACAATTAAAGCAGAGGGAGAAAAGCCTCATACCTGGAATCCTCTGTTACTTCCTCTATGAAACCTGAATCACATCTTGGACAGGTGAATTCCTGGAAGGAGGCAAAACAAAGTCTGAGTCAAACATTTTCATACAGATAACCAGGGACTGAAGATGTTAGTTTAGGTCACGGATGGCCAAGACCAGTCCAGCAACTTTTAGATGCATTTCTTCTCCAACACGTTGATAGGTCGTTACTACAGCTCTGTGAAGCTGATGAGGGAATTCAGTCATTTAATTTAGGTGTGTTGGAGAGAAGACGCATCTAAAAGTCTCAGGATGCTAAATCTCAAGAACTGGGTTTGAGTAATCCAGGTTTACGTGGTGTGATTTGTCTAAATGAGTGAAATAGATGTTAGAAAATAGGACAAAAAAAAAAAAGACGAACAAATAAAGAGGCATTATTTTAGGTGGGAGGAGACTGAACCAATAAATATTTGTTATTCTTACACTGACGTTCGGTTTAGAAAAAAGTATGTGGCTGCATATTTCAAAGTGAATTCATATTTATTTCAAAAAGATTTTAACTACAATTGAGAGGGGAAAATTACTATGGGATACAGGAAAAAAAATATTATACACTTGTCGTTTTTATTTTGCAAAGCTGTGTCCTGGACAGCTGACATTTAATACCTAAAACTTCCAGAGCACTCAGTACCAGACTACTTAGCTAGCCTCCAAAATTGTACTTTAATTTGAAAGCAAATTGACACCACTCAGATAACATGCATGCTATTTATATAAAATTGATTTAATAAAAAGCCGAAGGCAAAGCAAGAAAATAAGACGTGTGAGAACGCAGACCAGCACTGAACAAAATGATCCTCATAAAAAACCTTCAAAATTTGCTGTTTCCAAATTCAGATTTTCCTCTTTTATATTTTAAGTTACATATTTTACAAAATGAACACATTCTTTCGACTGGATGGACAATGTGGAACAGCTCAAAACTTACAAATAAAAAAAAAAATTACTGATATTTAACGAGACAAAATTATTAATGTGTAAATTCCAATCTGCCAATTATTTTTAGAAAAAAATAATGGCAAAACATTCGTATTCCAGATATAGCAAATTAAAAACTTCACCACCAGGATCGACACATATGACTACAAAGTCTTATAAAATTACATAATTTAGCTTGTGAATGTTTTCTTTTTTGCTGACAAAACGTGCAGAAGCATGTAAATAAACTTTGCTTTAAATGTATGTTATGCTCTAAGTTTTATGTCATAATCCAATATCTTTGTATCATATACCTCTATAAACATAACACAAAAAAAGTAAAAGACAGTAGTGCCATTATTTGACATGTCATCTGAAAACACTTTCCAGATTCCAGTGTAAAAACATCTCAAAGTATTTTTACATGATAATGTCAGACCCTTTGTTGAATGACAGCCAGTGTTTTCTGAATGTAACCCAGGAGGTAGAGCTGGTCTGGCCGACCACGCCTTGAGTGTCAGAAAACAGTGAGACAGAATGAGGAAAACGCCACCATCGCTCAGATGTTCTTTTCCTAATGACAGCCAGGGCTTTCAGGCCATGAAAACAGGGCCGAGCGAAGATCCAGAACATGCAGACAATGAGGAGGTGATCAGATTAATGTCGCCTGCATATGAAGCTGTATTTAAAAAGTGTTCAGGAAAGTGCTTTTGGAAAAACGATATAAACTTCTCCATACATACATGACCTTATTCCAGGAATTACATTTCATTAGTCTGATTTGACCAACATTAGGATCTGAAAGTGCACAATTGGCAAAACCAGATTGTGCCAGTCGTCACTTGCCCAGTTTATCCTTTCTGTTTTACACATGCGCACATGATCCTAGATGAATGAAAAATGATACTTGGGAAGTACCGAGGTAGTGTGCTGTGATACTTGGGTGCTGTAGTCATCATGCTGACTGAGACTGAAATGTCATGAAATGTCTTTCAAGTAGCAAACCTATTTTGAGTGACAGCGTAGAAAAATAAATAATATGGAATTGATCAAAATGAAGATTCAAATGAAGCTCAGGATTTAGACCTCTAATTAGAAGTGTTATAAGTATACACAATACAAATGTGATTTTATAAAACAATAATTAGCTAACCTGACTGATTATGGTTAAGTATTAGCTTATCCTTTACTATAACGCTAATGTAACAAATGCAACTATTTATTTTAAGCTTCACTTTGTTACAACTTATTGAACAAATTTGCCAAAAAAATAAATAGGACAAGAAAAACAATTTCAACTACAGTCGGTCAGACATTAAGTGAGTGTTTGTTTCCCTGACACAAAATGATGTCTATCAACATGTGAAAGGGCGATACGTATATTTAAAAAATAAATCGATCTGATTTGATGTTGACAACTCAAAATTATTTACAGATGCACTAAAAAACAAGACTGAAAAGTCAAGATGACCAGATGTTGCTGCAACATCTGGTCATTTCATAGTAGGAGTGATTACTGATGCAGGAAGACTTTAAGTGTACACTATTTAAATCAAAATTAAAAGTGTAAGTAGCTATTTAAAAAGAAAACTACTTTGTACAGAGGTGTGTCAGCTACTCATTCAGGGAGCAAGACTTCAGCAGATAACAGGAAGGCTTAACATTACAGCAAAGCTGCTCTGTTGGATGTTTTTGCACTTTAAACCTCTGGCTGCCATGGAAAATGTGAGATCTGGAAATGTTGGCAGCATTTTCAAATTCTCTGAGATAAGCAAAGAGTTTAAACGTGTCAAGAAGACACGGATGTTGCTTGTAATACAACATATGAAAACTATTAGAACACTTTGACCAATAGAGAATAGAGAAAAATATTGGATGGTCTTCTTCTACCATATTATTTTATAGTTCTCAAAGACAATTTGAATCAGCAGGTTTAACACATACAAAATCAGCTGCTTGATTGAAATATGGAACAAAGAGGCAAGTGTGACCACGTTTCTTAGATTAACTTTTAAAGTGATAAATGTATTTAATGCAACACAAAGTTGTCTCCAAAAGCCCATTAATGGTTTTATAAGACTAATCAAAGATCTTACAGATATGATTCGGCTACAATAGAAGCTCCTTCAGTTCTTGTCAAAGTTTAGATTTACTCCCAAGTCTTTCAAAAACAAACATATGTACACATATATTCTAAGTATCTTGATGCTGACTGTAAAATAATTCACTAGTGGTCAGTTCACTCCTACTTTTGATAACAAAACTGAAACTAAACACTTTTAAGTGTACACTCTGGAAAATTCCCCAACTGGTCCTGTCAATAATACGTTATTTTTATTTTTAGGAGAAACAGCAACTGCCGACTTTCTGTCAGCTAATTTTTAAAAAGTTGTCGAGCTTTCTGTTGCTGTTGACCAGCAGAAATATCGCGAACATACCTGAAGTATCTTAAGCACATTTTTAAGCAGAGAGTTTTGGCATAATCATGTTAGACGTCTAAACCTTTCGAAAGTAGACAGTGTTTGCTTTTAAGATCTGTTGACACGTTGGCAGGAGTTTATTTCGCGAGTTTACAACAACAACAACAACAAACGGGGCTAACAAGCGCTACCAGGCTAGCTGGGTTTAGCTTTAGCAAGCAGGCGAAAGAATCAAGATATTCTCCGGCAGGCAGCGCTGTCAGCCCCGGTGCTCCACAAAATAACACGGCACATAAACTAAAGTCATCTGACCTACCGGGAGTTTGGGGTTCACCTCTCCCTTACAACAGTGACAGAAAAAGCGATGCGGGGGAACAGCCGCAGCCTCCGCCATCTTCCCCAAAGAAGCACAAACACTGACGTCGGTCCTCCGCCAACCGAAGACAGCTGTCGGCCTGGTATGGCAAGTAGTTGCAGCATATTATCAAATCACATTCTCATACTACTTCACTCTATACTACAATAGCGTTGCAGGTAGGTTTTAAAATTAACAATATCTATAATATTATTCATATCACTAAGACAATTGTCATGGACTGTCCACACATTTAGTAGGTAAACACATTTTATTGTTATTACTTTTACTAATTTCATCCAAGTGGAGTGTTTTTTGTTGTTGTTTTTTGCATTTAAACGTCAGAAATTTTGAGTTACTGGTCAGATAAATAAAACAGAGCGTCTCCTGATGAAATCACACCACTGCTTTACAGAAAGGAGCTCAACCAACGAAAAGGGTGGAATGATACCCTTATCTTTGGAACAAACTTCCCTCAAATCTGAGTTGTGCAGAAACTACTAGGACTTTATATTTGGACTACTCGAGTGGTAAATGTTCATAAATCTACATGTTGTTTTATTTTTAGGAAATTGCAATCCAACAATTTAGGTCAAACATTTTAGGGAGTGTGACACACCTGCATCTGTAATTCTCAGTTAATTTAATACATCGACATACATGGAAACATTTTTGCTCTAATGGAAACGTTAGTTTGTGAAAACAACATTTAAAGTAAGAACATCAAGTACACCAAACGAATCCCAGCAAATTGGTAAAGACATGCAAAAGAACTACGTTAATATAAAAAAAATATAATTTGAGAAGCATTGCTCTAAAATCTAAAAAGCATGCAAATAACTAACACGGATGAACTTGGCTGCCTAATCAAATGTATTAAATAATAATTTGGTCTACCATACTCCTCCAGGCCGACAAGCGGCGCTCCACCACAGCCTTGGATACCGGAAGTGCTCCTGTGTTGTCATCGACGAGTCGCATGTGTGCGAAGTCTGCCGTCTTTGGGATGCATAGAGGCGAAAGTTTCTCCTGCCCTGACAGACGTCCGTGTGCAAAGTTAGTGCTGAAAACACGCTGAAGTTGTTGTTGCTTGTAGCCTTGCAGACCTCGTAACGTTTATACTTTCACTGACACACCGCGCATCATAAAGAGCAGGTTTTAAGGTTGTATAGTCTTCAGCCGTAGTTTCTTGATGTATTTCTTTTATGCCTTAAATAACAACGATCTGTTTGCACGTCATCTTAGTGAAACAGCTGCAGTTTTATACTCATTCTACCTCGTTTTGCCGCGTACAAACCCAATGAATTGACGTAATAAATTGTTTACATTGCAGTTCCTTGCAAAAATGGTGATATTTTAAAACAAATCTATCGAGTTATCTTGCTAAACCTGTTTTTTTCCCCCGCTGCTTTTAATCAGGGTTTCCCAAATATGCCACAGATTCTCAGTTGACTTTGACTTTGGGCTTTGATGAAAACCCTGTGCTTGTCGCTCTGACTGTATGTTTACAGTCTCTATCCTCCTGAAGACCTTTGCAGCCCTTTAAGGGTTTTATATATATATATATATATATATATATATATATATATATATATATATATATATATATATATATTTTGTCACCACACTTGGTACTTCAAATACAGGGCTGAAAGTAACATTTTTGTCTCGTCTCACTAAAGCACCTTATTCTACATGTTTATTGTGTTTATTTATTCTTGCCTTTATGCAGATGACGGCCCAGGAGATCCGTCTGTGTGGCCTCCTGCTGCAGGAGCATTTTGGAGAGGTGATGGAGAAAGTGGGAACTCACCTGCTCCGAAGTGGAGTGCAGAACTTGAGGACCATCGTCCAAGAAACCAACCTCTCGGTGGATTTGGTGCGGCTATCCAACGTTTTCTGCCTATAATTATGAGTATCATTTAAATTTCGCACCAATGGCTTGTGATGTATTCAAGCTGGTTATTTTTGTTCTCAACTTATTAGGAACTATTTTTATTTTTTAGTTTGTAAATGATGGCCGGTAATATTCGACTTGCATGAAATAAATTCAAAGCACTTAGATGTTACCGCATAATTACATCACAATTCATATCAATGCCATCTCTCAAAATGTAGAAGAAACTCAGGGATGATGGATGTTTTTTAATGTTTCTTTTTCATTAAAGGTAAAGAAGTGTCTGTGCGTGCTCGTGCAACATGGGGCTTGTTGTTTCACTTCTGGCCGTAAAGGACCGGGCAGCCCCACAGAGTACCGGGCCTGCTGCGATCGGATCCTGAGAGTTCTGCGCTACCCGCGTTACATCTACACGGCCAAAACGCTGTACGGCGACACGGGCGAGCTGATCATAGAGGAGCTGCTGCAGCGTGGCCACATGACGATGAGCAGCACGGTGAAGACGGTCGCAGACCGTCTCACGCAGAACATGGAGGGTCGGTTTTCATGTCCACCAGAAATCTTTAGCTGCAGTTCTCTTGTTTCAAAAGCTTTTTGAATTTAATGTTAGGGTTATTACAATAACAAAGATTACTTGGCGACTAATTGTCTCTGAAATTATTGTGATAAATGTAGACTTTTAGACCATTTAATAATATTCTCAAAGATTAATAAAGCCGTAATTTCTAAAGAACAATGCTGCTGGGGCTGGTAGAGATTTTAAAAATCCAAAATGATAAAAAACAATGAATGAAATTGAAATAAAAACCTGCACATAACTGAAACAATATGTATTGAATTGTGGATTGTCTGTAAACAAAATTGCCCTTAAAAATGATGAATCATCGGTTTCAAACAGGTAAAACTGTCAATGTAAATTAACAACAAGAATAATCCACTTCTGAACTAGTCGTTAATTCAACTAGTAATTCTCTGGCCTGCTCCTCTTTTCAGTATTATTGATTATAAAAATGACAGAATAGTTTCTTACTTTTTTTTAAGTAAATGTGCAACTGTGACTACATGGCCCGACAAATACAAACACTGCTCTTCAGTGTTTGTGTTCTTCAGAAACATACCCATTTGTAATACTTTTCTTTAGGTCATGAATCACTTATAGAAATGTGATTTGCATCACCAAACTCCACACATTAACTGTATTTAATCATATTTTAAAATTCTTTCGTATTTGTTGATATTCTCTTTGAACAAACAGTGGAGAAAATAGTGAAAATAACAATAATATGGACATAAAACTACAATACTGACGGTTTTCTGGGGTTTTAAGCATTGCAATCTGGAATTTATTGTGAAAAAGACATTTCAAATTAATCAACAATAGGATAAATTCTGACTCCTAGTTAATAGTGTGTGTGTTTTTCATTATAGAGGGCCACAGCATGGATTACAGCGAAGTGTCTTCTACCTTCTCCAAACTGGTGGAGACCCATTTTCTCCAGCGCTGCCCTCCAGTTGGAGGAGCAGGAACTTCAGGCAGTGCCGCTCCTGGTGCGGCTCCTGCAGCGGCTGCAGCCGCTGTCAGCGTCGCCCCGCCAACTCCAGAGAGCTTTCCTGAGTGCTACAGCGTACCACATGTTTCGCTCATTGGACGAGGCAAACGGCAGCTTGTCCCCGAGAACGGAGAGGACCAGAGGAATGCAAAAAGAGCCAAGATGGACACAGAGGTCAGTGAATATTTGGTTCCATCAATAAGCTCTAAAATCACTGGCATTCCTGTGTTTTCATAGTTCTATGGATGTTTTATTTTTGTTTGCTCAGACACATGGTGATGAAGGAATTTACTGGCAGGTGAATTTTGAGCGTTTCCATCAACACTTCAGAGACCAGGCAATCATCAGCGCCGTGGCCAATAAGCTGGATCAGGTCAGATTTCTATCGAATTACTGAAAATGCAACCAAACTGTTAATGGATGAGCTTAAAATAAATATTTCAGTAATTTAATTCACTTTACCTTGCAAAAGTATTGATACCCATGGAGTCATATCAAAAACTTTCAAGAATTTCAGTGGGATTTTATGTGATAAACCAACAAAGCAGTATGCAAATTTGTGAACCTAACAGAAAACAATAGTTTTGAAGTTTTGATTGAAATTGCTGCACAACCCTTAATCACTAAACACATCATCTTGAGCACAATATTCCCACTGTGACACAGTGCGGTGGCAGCATCATGGAGTGGAGATGCTTTTCTTCAACACAGTCAGAGTTGATGGGAATTTAGATGGAGCAACATTCTGGGAAACGATGCAGAATCCTTGAGGCTGGTGTTGAGGTTTATCTTCAAACAAACTCCCAGAGCTGAGAAGGCATGGTTTGGATGAAGTCATGTTAATGTGTAAATGTTCCAGTCAAAATCCAGATTTTTCAATCTGTAGATGTGTGAAGATGGGAGAAAAGACTTTCAGGCTTATGTATATATATTTCTTCTTCCATGTATTTCCACAATTACATAAAAGATTGTGGCTTTACCTTTTGTGTGTTTGAATTCCTTTAAACACAAATTAATTATTTATTATTGCACTTAGTAAAGAATACATGATTATATTACAAAGGGAAAAAGCATCATCCCTAAAGTTATTTTAAGATTGTTCATATTGTAACGTTTCAGACCAGCAGTGAAATAGTGAGGACCATCCTGAGGATGAGTGAGGTGACCACTTCAGCCACCGTTGCCTGCACTAAGCCACTCTCAGCCAATGAGATCTTCAGGTCCCTCCCTGCCAGCTACAACATCCCCAGACACATTTTGGATCAGTATCTGACTCTGCTGGTGGACGACCCAGTACGCACGCCGCCTGCTGGGCGATTTCACTTCCTACCCACATGAATCTCTTTTACCATCAACTGCTTCTTTATTTCCCAGATGGAGTTTGTTGGGAAGACTGGAGAAAGTGGAGGAGGAATGTTTGTTGTCAGTATCCTTTAGTGCAGCTAGAGCCAAAGCTGGAATACTGAATGATCCAGTTTGGTTTATGAATCTGATAAATCGGCTGTATTCCTGAACTCATCTCTCAGATCTGCACAGAGCTCTTGCAAACCTGGCTCGAGCCACGGTTGAGTCCATCGTGCAGGAGAGGTGAGTCCGTTTGGGTTTCTGCGGGACGTACGTGTGACTTTCTTGTGAACTGACTTATCAATCGGTTCTTATTTTCATCTGCTGATCAGATTTGGCTCCCGGTCGGCTCGTATCTTCCGTCTGTTGCTGCGGAAGAGACACCTGGAGCAGAAGCAGGTGGAGGACTTTGCCATGATTCCAGCAAAGGAGGCTAAAGACATGCTGTACACGCTGCTGTCTCACAACCTGGTGCAGCTCCAGGTGAACCATAACAGTTTAATCGATAAGATACTTTTAAAATGTCCCTTTTGGGTTGTTTTATTTTGGAATTGTCTTTTGAATACAGTTATAAAAGTTGACAATTGTAATTAGATATATTGTGCAAAAGTTGTCATGTCTTTTCTTTACAGAAACTTTACTTTTTGTACCTGTGCTGTGTTATTCCAACAAGAACTACTTCTAAGTTCATTTCACACTGCTTAAAATTAAATTAAATCATGTTTTTTGGTTCAACACCTACAATGCTAAATTCAGAGTAGAGTGAGGTTATTGTCACATTGTTTTTTACTGAAAGTTAATTATTAAAAAATAAATCACTATTTAATATCAATGTGCCTAAAAGCTGAAATCCAATAAAGTGAAGGTTTCATTTAAAAAAATGCCAAGAAATTTAGAAAATTTATGAAAACTGTTTAAAAACCCTATAGAAACCTTTTGTGTTACTTTTACATAAACCTTGAATTAAGCAAATTTTATGGTCCAATTTTATCACTTTTCAATCTGGTAAATTAAAAGGCCTCTATTTCATCTTGTTTGACAAAAATGTTTTCCAGTCTGACAAACTTTCTCTGCTTCAGGAAATCCCCAAAACCCCAGATTTCGCTCCATCTCGCACTTTTTATCTTTACACCGTCAACCAGCTCCCAACCGCCAGGATGCTACTGCAGAACTGCTACAAGGTAGAAACTTAAGATCTGACTGGACGATTCCTTTCTTACTTTCTTGCTTCTTTCTGTCTGTTTTAGTTTTTCCACATTTGAAGCCACTGCTGATATATCCTTCATAGCTAAATTTGGGAAAGTAAGCAGATTTCACATGGAAATGTGTAGGATCCAGGTGCATATTTTTTGTTTTTGCAGCTTCTGCCTTTTCTAACATATTTTTCCTGCAGACCGTAGCCAACCTCATAGAGCGACGCCTGTTTGAGACCAAAGAAAACAAGTGGGTCCTAGACTAAAGAGTTGGTTTGATGGTTTAAGTCCCCGTCTCATTGTGGCTGACTGCTTTCATGCCGATTTTCAGGCGCCTCTTGGAGAAATCTCAGCGAATCGAAGCCATTCTGGCGTCTCTGCAGGCCAGCGGGGCCGAGCCCGAACAGCTGAGCGAAGTCGAGGAGATGATCTCTGCTCCCGAGAAGCAGCAGCTGGACGTCTTGAAGCTTCACGTTAACAAGTAAGAAGACAAACTGAAACTGTCTTTTTCAGTTTCCTCAACAGTCTCTTTATGTGTCTGTTTCTTGTCCTTTTCCAGGTTAGATTCAGCAGAGAACCAGGTAGATGAAACCATTTTTATCTTAGAATCCTACGTCAGCTCCACGTCTACATCTTGAGTCGTTATTGTCAAAATGTATCCAAAATGTCATCATTTTTAAAAATGATTTCTTTAGCGTTTCTGTTTACTTCGACTGAATATGTTTATTTTTCTTGTTTTTATTGTGTGGATCACGACTGAATAAATATCAAAACACCTTTTTTTTCCCTCAACCTGTTTTTATTCCATTAGAAAACAAACAAAACACACACAAAAAAACAAAACAAAACCTGTTCTGACCGTTTAAAATATGAAATTGTGGAAAAAGTTAGCAAGTTAAATAAAATAACTGTAGTTTGATACATTTTGCTTAAAAAAAAGAAGATAATTTACATAATTGCCCCTACTGACCCTGAAAATCTTGGGCAGTGCATTTCTGTCAGACCCTGTTGACACTGACTTTGGTCCTGGAGATTCATGTTGAACACTTCAAGTTGAACTTCATCATGTTGCCTGTTCGATGGCAGATTCTGCTCGTCTGGTCGTCTGCTTTGTAAACTGTCTCAGTCCTCCTGGTTTTCATCCTCTCTATGTTTCCGTGCGAAGAATCCAACCTTTGAGAACAACAGGACAGCTGAGATTAATACCTGGTTTGTAACACACTTATGTTTCCCCAACTTCCAAAGAGAGATTTATTCGGTTACCTTCCACAGTATGAATATAATGAGTGCTAATAGCAGCAAACCGCCTATGATGCTGCCGATCAAAATCCAGAGCGAGATGGGAATAGCTCGGCCCTTCAGCACCTCTAGGACGGTCTGGAAAGAGAAAACGGTCAGGAAATCACAGTGTTTTGCAAAAGTGTTCACAACTACAAACCTCATTAGTGTTTTGTTCTATACACAGACAGGAAGTAGTACGTTATTGTCACATTTTATTTTTCCAATAAAATCTCAAAAATGTGGTTTGCACATTGTCACCTTGCTAAAATAATGACCTAGTTTCCTTTTGTCAAAAAATGATTTTGTTTTGTCAAAATAACTGGCAAAAATGCCATAAGGCAGTTATTTTAGGAAGGTGACGATGTGAGTTCATTCCCCTTTACCTTGATACTCCTAAATAAATTGTAGTGCAGCAATTTTCCCTTATGTGTCAACCAGCTGTTTCTGCTTTTATGATGCATTTATATACTTCATAACATCAAACAAACTTTCATTTCTGACAAAGATAACATGAATAAATGCAAAAAAGTTTGTACAACTTGTTTTTGCAGTCACTGGCAAACAGTTTAGAGTTTTTGACCGGCTTTTTTTTTGCCAGGTTTTCAAGCATAAATGGCCTGTTTAATGTTATCACAGCTCACAGATTTAATTTCAGACTTTGACTAGGCAATTTGAAAGAAAACTTGTTAAAGCCGACAAAAGACTTAAAACAAGAAAAAATTTACACCTTCCCGAAGGACAATGAATCCAAAGATAAAACCTGACCAATAATGGAACAATTTAGATATAAGTATGTTCATGCAGGAATGGACAAATCAAAACTCTGACTTTAAGATAACTGGTTATGCATTTAAATACCTAAAAATAACTGCGAGTGAGCTATTTTTGCAAAGCCCAACAGTCTTCATATATGCAAAGCTGGTAGGAAAATACTACAAAAGACTAGCAGCTGTAATTATGGCAAATATTTTATAATTTTCTCTCTACGTCACAGTTACGGACTACTTTCCCATAAAAAACACAATAAAATACTGTGAGGCTTGCAGCTGTAGCACAGTGAAATGCTGAAAGCTTCAAATGATACTTTTTAAAAACTCAAATATCTCCTCCCTTTGCTGAGTGGAAGCATTCTGCAGTCTTACCTCCCCCTGGACTGTTCCTGCTCCCAGAGTGATGAGGTTAGTCTCCTGAGCTGAGAGACTGTAGGCGCTAATTATCCTCACTGACTTATATTTAACCTACAAAGTCACACACAAAGGATGAGCAATCTTTACATCATTTGGAAAGACTTCCACGTGACGCTATGTTAACTCACTTTTCTGAAAAAGTCATCATGAACTCTGCGGCTGATTCGTATAACCGCCTGCTGACCGAGCTGTCGCACCTCACAGACGACCTCTGTGCACCACGAGCGGCTGCAGTTCTGGACATAAAACATGCCACATTACAGCCTGTAAAATGACTTCTTGGTGTTTATTCCTGAATCAAAAAGCCTCACCAGTATTTCGTCATGCATCATGTCCTCGGGATGAAGGGGACGAACGTCTTTCTGTCTGGACTTCAGCTGGGCTACATCATTCAGCACGCTGCACTTTATTCCTGTGGCCTGAGGGGAGGCTTAGCAATGTCACATCGTTCAAATTCAATGCACATTAAAGCAAATCACGAAGGCCCACTCACGTTGTATGTGAAGACATCCGTTATAGTCATGAAGACCGCATCTTCTGCTGCCACAAAGGGCAAAAGCACACGCAGCTCCAGATTACTCACAGAGTAACAGCCGATATTCAGTAGCTACAAAAACAGACAAAAAAACTAAACAAAACACATCTTTTACCTCAACCTGTACAGTAATGACATCTAAACAGCACAGTGGAAATTCACCCTGAATGCCTATAGTTAAGATCAGTGGGTCTACATACAATCTTGCCAAGGGTGAATTTTAGTTCATTTTCATTTCAGAACTTGATCATTTTGAAAGAAATGTCTCTTTAATTTGTCAAATCTGCTAATCTGAGCAGTGAAGTCACACAGGTACAGAATTATTTTGTTTTCAGTGGTATTGTTCAAAAGGATTGGTCTGCTCTGCTCTCTGAGAAGTACTGAAGCCCACAGTGTTTTCCACTTTTTGTCACCTTACAACCAAAAAATGTGATGTATGTTATTTGGATTTATGTGACAGACCAACACAAAACTGCAGATAGTTACAAAATGGAAAATTATACATGGTTTTCAAAAAACTTTTTGCAGAAATCTAAAAACAAATGTGTGCTTTCCACCTCTGCAGGTGAAAGCAATGCTCTCGGCTCCTATTATTAAATGAGGTTAAAAATGTTGCTACAGCTGGCTTTAACACTGAGGATTTGTCGCTTTCAGTTCCTCTTTCTTTACTAACCTTTCAGACAGACGGTTGAAGGAGAAAAAATGAGAAACTTACCCTGATGTACGTGTAGAACTCTGGACCCATGGCTTCTGATGCTGTCCGTGTGGGATGGACCTCATAGCGGTTCAGGTTAGAGTCACTAAACAAAGAACAGCCAAACAAAAGAGCTCCATATCAATGATGATGACAAAAAAAAGTAAATAAAACTTGTAAATTAAGTGAATTCTGTGCTCAAACCTGCTAACAAAGAGATCTGGCTCATATTGTACGAAAGTCTGCAGCTGAACACTGTTGTCCCCCAGAGTTTCCTCTCTCTCACTGCTGTCACTGTAAGACAGAAAAAGATGGATATCACTAAAAACGTCCTTTTCTGTTAATTCTTTGGTATTTGAAATGTTTGGACAAGCTTACCTGGTAGCATTGAGCTTCATTTGTACCCGATTGTGCAAAGAGGTGCAGCTGAATTCAAACTCCAATATAAAATTCACCTGGAAACAAGGAGCAACAGATACTGGTGAAGTGATGCGTCCCACCTGAGGTGCAGGGAGGTGTGAAGAGATCAGCTTCCTCAGCAGCAGGTTACCTTTGAATGTGAGCGAAACACTGGGTAGCTGACGTTACACGAGTGGCTGTTTGAGCCAAGAGCGGTACACTCTATCTTGAAGTTGGCATTCTCCTTTGTTAAAATTAAAGGAAAAATAACAGCAATAAATATCGCACTCAAACCACGCTGCATGTGTAGGATCATTAAAGCAGAGTTTTACTTTGACGCTGATGCTGGAGAAGTGGAGGTTGCGTGAGTAGTGCAGCTTCAGGCTAGTGTTGTAGGCATTTTCCAGCCTGTTCTGGAGCTGCACTTCCACCGCCAGCCGCCTACGAGGGCTGCGAATCACATAAGGTTTCTGCCTGTGTGAGAAAACATGACTCACTCAGATCTATCAGCCAGAAGACGTTTTACTTTGACTGGCTTCAGGAGAGAAAGCTCCAGCAGATCTGTACCTTGTACCAGAGATGTCCAGGTTTGCCTGCAAGACCAGATCTGTTGTGCAAACATCATCTTCACCACAGTCTTTGAAAAATGGTATCTGGATAGAAGGGCAAGAAAGGTTATTAATGAAAATAAAAATGGAGCGGCGTTAGCTTTGTGCTGCGTACAAATTTCTTGACGCTTGTTGGCCAGCCTTCATCCAACACCGGACCGGTCTCTGTGTCGTTGATCTTAAACCGCAGTGAGAAGCTGATTGGGCGAATATAATCTGCTGTATCCTGTGGAGCAGATAGAGAGGCTTCAGCCACATTTGTTAACTAAGTACTTTAAAAGCAGCCAATTAGACCGGACAGAATATTTGAAACAAAATATAAGAAGTAAAAAAAAAAATACTGAAATAAGCAACAGAAACACTATATAAAAATAAAATCTAAATAAAACGAACACCTAAGTTGTGTCAAATGTGTATTTCCAATGCAGCAGATGAACATTTATGATCAGTTGTGCTTAAGAGAGTTGTTAAATCTGAGAGAACAAGGACTGCAGGATCCCATGAATGTGTAGCCAGGACAATGTTGAACCTCAACACCACAAATCCTGTAATATTCAGAGACCTCAAACCAGACTCATCAATTTTGAGAACACTATTTCATCGGAAAAAAATTCAATTGGCCCTAAGCAGAAAGAAAACATCGAGAACAATGCAAATGTCGGAGACCACTTTGTGGTCCAGGCTAGATTTTTTTTCATCACTGGTGTTGACGACATGGTTGCACAGATACTCACATATACATGGAACGGCAGGTTGTAGCAAAGAGTTTTTCTTGTTTGCACTCGGACTGGAAGCTGCATCTGTCTGTGGGAGCTTTCATCGAACAGAGCTCGCGCTGAAAACTTCCTGTCATCCAACATGGCTGACACCCAAAGATCTGAGGAAGAAGCATCAATCAAAAAGATGTGAGCTGGAAAATAAGCATCTTTTTTTTTAAGGTTGATCTGGTTTTATTTGGGACTGGTCACATTTAGTTTGTTTATGGACAAATCTATTTCCAGACAGTATATTGACAGCAGAAAAATGTTCAGCTTTGAAATGATTGTTTTTATATTCAATCTTTAATTGTTTTTCAC